GCCGCCTCTGGCATATGGGGCCGGCGCCCTACTCCTTTGAGCCACAGGTGCCAGCTGAGAAGGATGTTTTTTTACTGTGGACTAGGGATAGGAGAGAGAGAAGAAACTGCCTTTCTTCTGTGATCCCCACAGAAGGAAAAGGAACCACCAATTACCAAAATAGGACATGTGCTTTGAGTTCTTTATTTAGCTTTCTAAGTGAATTTGCTGAGAGCAGTTCAGTACAAGGTAAAACAGCTGAATAGCTTCTATTTCTAATACTCCTTCCTCCCCTGTTTTAGGGCCAATAAAGGTAAGATGCAGTTACTCCTCTTTTAACTGTTTTTAGCTGAAATACTTAACAGAATTTTGGAGTACATCAGTATATTTTTTGATATGACTGCTTCCATGTTTTGAGTTGTAAAAATACAACATATTGATAATTTTCCTCTTTTGGTCCTATGTCATGATCAAGTGGGATTTATCCCTGGAATAGAAAGTTGGTTTAACATTTGAAAAGCCACATGACTTTCTCAATAAATGCAAACTTTTTTCACAAAATCCAAAACCCCTTCTCTCATAAAGCCACTCCAACTATATAGAGGTGAACTTCCTCAGCCTGATAGTGTTTTTATCTGAGAGGCTGATAGCTAACATCATACTTGGGACAATTTTACTAGGAAGACAACAAGAATGTCCACTATTGCTACTCTCATTCAACATTGTACTGGTGGCTTTAATGAGGGCAGTTTGGCAAAACCAAGAAATAAAAGGCACCCAGACTGGAAGGAATCTAAACTCTCGAGTTGCAAGAAGTATCATGATACTTCTATGTAGAAAATCTTATAAGGAATCCACAAAAATAACGAGTTCAGCAGTGTTGCATAATCCAATGTAAATATACAGAAATCAACTATTTCTATACACAATGCCATTTGTAATAGTCAGAATAAAATACTTAGGGATAAGTTTCACATAAGTATGAGACTATATACTGAAAATGACAAAACACTGCTAAAAGACTATAGGGAAGACATCAGAATAAGTGGAAAGACATTTGTTCATGGATTGGAAGGCTTAATATTGAGTTGGCAATATTCTCCAAACTGAATTTATATATATATATTTTTTTGAGACAGAGCCTAAAGCTGTCACCCTGGGTAGAGTGCTGTGGCCTCACAGCTCACAGCAACCTCCAACTCTGGGCTCAAGCAAGTCTCTTGCCTCAGCCTCCCAAGTAGCTGGGACCACAGGCACCCGCCACAATGCCCAGCTATTTTTTGGTTGCAGCCATCATTGTTGTTTGGCGGGTCCGGGCTGGAATCGAACCCGCCACCTTAGGTGTATGTGGCTGGCACCTTAGCCACCTGAGCCACAGGCCCCAAGTAAAAACTGATTTATATTTAAATACGACCCCTACAAAAGTCCCACCTACCTTTTTTTTTAGTGCAGAGATTGACAAACCAATCCTAAAAATCATATGAAAATGCAAGATACCCAGAATAGTCAAAACAGCCTTGGCAAACTAACCTAGGACTCCCACTTTCAAAATTTCATACAAAGCAGCAGTAATCAAGACAGTGTGATACTGGCATATAAACAGACAAACTAGGTCTTTGTTGTACAATTCTGAGTCCAGAAAGGAACCTAGAGTCAACTGATTTTTGACAATTGAATATCCACGCATCCTTTACTTCCTACCATATACAAAAAATTAACTTAAAATGGATCAAAGACTAAATGTAGGAGCTAAAAATATAAAACTTTTAGAAGAAAACTTAGGTGTGAATATTCATGACCTTGATTAGGCAGCGGTTTGTTAGCTATGATACCAAAAGCACAAACAACCAAAGAGAAAATAAATTGGACTTAATAAAAATGAAAAATTTCTTGTGTTTCAAAGGACACTACCAAAAAAGTAAGGAGATGATAAGCCCACAGAATGAGGAAATATTTGCAAATCATATCTATAGGTCTACCACCTAGAATATATAAAGAACTCCTTAAAAATACACAATAAAAAGGTAATGACTTACTTGAAAAATGGGCAAAGGATGTGAATAGATCTTTTTCTTCAAGTATGTACATTAGCCATTAATGAGATACCATTCATATACAACTTGGATGGCTGCAACCAGAAAGATAGTAACATGTTTTCATGGTATAAGTTGGGACCTTTATCCACTGTTAGTGGGAATGTAAAATGGTGCAGGTATTTTGGAATATGGTTTGGCATTTCTTCAAAAAATTAAGCAGTCACCATATGACCCACTTAAGTTCCACTTCTAGAGAGAACTGAAAACATGTTCACACACAGAAATGTACATTAATGTTCACAGCAGTGTTATTTCTAATAGCCCCAAAGTGGAACTGCTTAATGGATAAACAGTGTACAATAGTATAGCCATATAACAGAATATTAACCTTAATGGGAGTAATGCTATTCAAGGATAAGCCTTGCAAACATCATACCTAATAAAAAGTCCACATAGGGTGCCAAAAACATATATGCACATTTTAAAGAAAAAACTGTATTAAATTTGTAATATCCAGTATGTAATGTTAACAAAAGATGAATGCAAGTCACATTTAAGCATCTCTTTTAATAGCAGAATTCAAATATGAGTATTATAATAGTTTTTCCCCTTTTCTTAAAGTGTGTACATTTTTTAGCACCATCTTCAGGGGTGTGCAACTTTTTTTCCCCCTATGCCTTGTCTTGGGGCACACATTAAATGTACAAACTCTAAGGAAAGCTGATTAGCAAAAAAGAAAAAAGTCTGTGTGTACTCTTCGTGATATCCAACATCATGGATAAGCAGAAAATGTCCTCGCAAAATCATGTGGCCATGGGCTACAGGTTGGACATCCCTATTCTGTATGTTTCCATTTACATGGAATGTCCTGAACAGGAAAATCCATGGAGACTGCATATTTAGGAACTTAGGAAAAATTCAAAATCATTTTTAATACCACTTATTAAGACATGATGCTGGCTCAGCACCTGTAGATCAGCTGCTAAGGCACGAGCCACATATACCAGTGCTGGCGGGTTGGAATCCAGCCTGGGCCTGCCAAACAACAATGACAAGTACAACCAAAAAATAGCTGGGTGTTGTGGTGGGCATCTGCTGGGGAGGCTGAGGCAAGAGAATTGCTTAAGCCCAAGAGTTTGAAGTTGCTGTGAGCTGTGATGCCACAGCACTCTACCCAGGGCAACATAGTGAGAGTCTGTGTTAGAGGGGGAAAAAAAAAAAAGAAAAAAAAGACGCTTAGTCTCCTATACACTTTTTCATTTTGTTTGGTGGATATCGTATGGTGTACATTGTTTTCTGTTATTTCTTCATTATATTTTGAATACTTTCCAGGTCATCAACATCACTGTTTCTTCCAATATTCTATTGTCAGGCATCTAGGATGCTGCCAATTCTTGATACTCCCATCCTAAATCTACATATGAATAAATATTTTAAATAAATCTGTTTGTATTTCTAGTTATTTCACAAGGAAAATGCTAAGAGGTAAAATTATAAGGAAAAGAGTATTTCTGTGGCTTTTAATGTACTTTTTGCTGTTAACCTGAGATGATGAATAAGCAAAAGTTTGTGTAATGGTTTTATTGCCCTTTACTAAATTAAAAAAAAAATACACATTTTAGAAGTAGCACAACTTTAATTACAAGCAAAGGTTGATTGCCACCCACCTTCAATGACTTCTAGTTTTGGTATCAGCAAATAATTTAAATGTATCTACTACACTTCAAAGAGTCATACTCAATATTTACATTTCATCGGTTAAAGTTATGGCTTAAATAGTTGATATGTGAACCAAACAACACTGCAAAATAAAAAGAAAGTTTTAAAAAATTAAAGTATATATAAAATAAAAATATATTACCAAAGAGATATTTTCCGTAAACTTGCCAAATTTTTTGCCTTGGGGCCTTCTGTTTCTATGAGTTGAAAAATGAGTACTTTATGGAAGAAGAGATCCATTCATGGTCTGAGCCATGTTAACTTACTGGTACCCTGCTTTCAGGAATGTGAGATGAACTCATCAGCATAGTTTTATTTAGGATATTCAGAAAGATCACAGCTGTTTATAATGGTACATCATTTTTATTGATTGAATATTCACACCAAACATCAAAGTAATAATGCTGGTTCTTCCCCCTAACAGACTAGGAAAGGAGAAGAAAGTTCAGTTTAGTTTCTTGTGCGGCTGCATGTACTCACATGCAAAACATTATCTTAAGATTCTGGGATAGGTGGTTTAAAACAAAAGACTTAAATAAAAATAGCACCAGAAGGACTAGGTACCAATAATCACATACTCCACCCATTTAGGAGTTTTATGTCAAATTATTGCACTTGTAAAAAGTAAATGATAGTCAATTACCCAACTCAATAATTTTAGATAGTTTGATGAATTTTGAACTAAGCAATTTCAAATGGTTTTGGGTTTCCCTTCAAAGGAAACCTGGCTGAAACAACTAAATCTAGCCATTTACTTTAAAAAGCAAGGATAGAGGACCAAGTTTTGTTTCCAAAGTATAATTGCACTATGAGAGGCTATTTTACATAGTGGTACAAATTTGGTCCACATCAAATACACCATTATAAAAATAAACAAGTTTGTTTTGTAAAAAATAACATTGCATTCCTTGTTCGAATTGCACAGTACAAACAAGCTATCTAAATTAATACTGTTATAAGGTAATTAGAATTACTTACAGTGGATATGTGTCCAAAGCAATTAAGGAGTATGCAGTTCTATTTTCAATGTATGAAAACTACAATTAAGTCCTATCTAGAAATACATAAAATATTTCGTAAGTTTACAATGAAGAATGCATTCTTTATACACTCATTTTTAGTAGCCTTGATAATACAGGATTCAGCAGTCTATTCACATAAATGTCCATTTTTATTCAATTTACAAAAGCAATAAATAAGAAACTACATTAATTTGCACAAAACCTATTCCACTTCCTTCATGATCAGTGTGATCATTTCTGTTACTTTATGACCATGCCAACAAACCTGTCTTCCTTATGAAGACTCCTCATTTTGGAAAGAACAGCAAGTCCTGTATATATACATATATAGTCATTCAGAATCCAGCATAAAACCTTACAAATTATAATATGACCCCTAAAAATATGAACAGTGCCTTTAAGTATATTTACACAAGAGCATTCAAAAAAGATACAGTTCTTTGATACAAAATAGTTTAGTGGTATCTAACAGCATAATTGATGAGAACCCCTCAGACATCTGCCCACATTGATCTACTAGGAATCAGGCTTGCTAAAACAGGCACGTTAACTCACAGGTAAATAGCTTCTATCCATTCAGGACTGGGATTTAATAGGACAGGAGAGCCAAGGAGACTGTCTCCCTAACATTGGCACCTTGTATGTCTATTAGGAGGACCAACTGGGGAGTCCAGTGAGCTCTATTCAAGAGAGCAAACAGGTAGTTCAAGTACCTGATGAGCTATAGCAAGCACCTTAGCATTTATTTTTTAAAAAGCTTTCTGGACATACAATGAAGCAGAAAACATTAAGAGGCTATAAGTAGTGAAAAAGTAAGCTCATCTGGGGCAAAACAGTCCCTATGGTTTAAGAGCTACCAATCTTTGAATAAAACCAAAATATTCTCATGTACATCTGTATAATATTCTTTATTACTTTCCACTGCAGCTTAAAAATATTTTTTATAAAAGTTTGCTTTATTCAATATCACATTTTTATGGAGTCAAAGAAATTTCTTAGAGGAGAAAGAATTAGTTAAAATCTAGTAATACTTGACCAAAGAGACTCTGAGCTGAGTTCTCTCCCCATTAAATTATCCAACTAAGTCCCAGTGTACTTTGTTGCACCCTGCTGCTAATTAATACTGTCCATTGTGATGGTATGTCACTGTTTTTAGGACACAGAACAGTCGTAAGTCCCATCCTGAAAAGGTTCCTCCTCCTCTGCTTGGGCTGTGTCCTCTTCTTTCCGGCTGACCATACTGCTAACCCCGACCTCACACTGGGAAATACCTCCAGGGCCAGAGGAGCTTCTGTTCTCCTCTGTCCGGGGGTTAGACTGTTCGGGAGTCTTACCCATAGTTACTGGCTGGAAGGTGTCGGGCTGGACCTGCTCTTCTGTTACTTCATTGAGCTTCTGTAGTTGTGGCTTAATGATATTTAAAAATGGCTTATATCCAGGGCTAAAGAAAGGAAAAAATATTAGCTCTAGTCAGCCATAATTCAAAGGGGCTGGGCAGACCGTTATGGATAAACTATTAAACATTGACATGATTAAGAGCAATGAGAGATTATAGGGGAGGAGAGAAGGAGGGAGGTAGGAAAAGCTTGCATGCCCTGCCCAGCACAGAGGGAGTTGCACAAAGAATAAGCCTAAGCCTTAAATTTCTAAGCCCTAGGAGCAGTATTACAACAAAAAGCTGTACAACTGAAAGACCAGGAGGATTTTAGACATGAAAAGGGACCTTCAGACATTTAAGCTATGTGCACTTAGCAATTAAGGAAACCCAGATCCAAGTAAGACAAGTAACTCGTGCCAAATCCACACATAACTGGGAATAAAGACAAGACTAGAGCCCAGGGCTCCCTAATAGCTATACACAATTCTTAATTTGGATTTGCCAGTAACTGCCATGGAAAGTTAAATTCACATACACCTTTAACTTTGTATCTTTTCTTTTCAAGTAGACATTTTTAGGTTGTAAACTTTCAATTCTACAGGATTAAATATCTTAATTCTCAGTCTAATTCTAAGTTCATTTGTACTGCATTAGTCTTTTAAGCTAGTGACATGCTTTTGCATTATAAATTATAAATTGACCAATGCTCTAATTTTAACTCAATGGATATTACCCATTTAAATAGCTGTATATATAACTGTTACTAAAGAAAGCATTTTCATTTCTACTAATTTTAAAATATCCAAAACAATCATAACCAAGCCTTAATGCAAAAGGACAGGATTCACAAAGAATACCAGAACTCACCAATCTGTAGAAGCCCATCGGTCTACCGCATGTAGTCCTGTCTTTATATTCTGTAACATCTCTCCATCTACTTCTGAAGATTGTATAATAACCAAAATCTGATTGATTATTGAGGATTCTCTAAGAATCAGGCCGATAACAATGCACCAGTCCAGGCATCCTGCCTCCATGAAAACGTGTAGCAAATACCTACATATAAGCATAAACAAAATGACTTTGGCTAAGACAGATCTATAACAGTGGTTCTCAACTTTCCTAATGCCATGACCCTTTAATACAGTTCCTCATGTTGTGGTAATCCCCAACCTAAAATTATTTTCAGCACTGTAGCAATGATAATTTTAGAGTTGGGGGTCACCACAACATGAGGAACTGTATGAAAGGGTCACGGCATTAGGGAGGTTGAGAACCACTGATCTGTAACATGTAGAGAAGGACAATGAACATTAGGGAAGTAGTCCCTTTACCCATTTGCCCAGATACCCAAGTAGGCATTCTGTGCGTTCAAATAGCTGAGAAACTTACCGCAGCTGGACCTGGGATTTATGAGGCCCTTTACTCGCCAATTCCATGGAGATATGCTCTAGCTCTGATTGAGTTAAACTGAGGGTGGAGAAATTTTCATCTACCATTGTCCAGTCTCCATCCACCATGGAGCTACTTTCAGTTAAATCTGTGGCTGAACCAATACTGCATTCATCACCTGATGAAGAATTGCCAAAGGTTATAAACAACTTCACGGAGAAAATATGTTTCCCTTTAATTTAAATATTAGCTGTTTCTCAGATATTGAATTCTCCTCGGAGTTTTGTAACCAAACATTAAATCCACTCCTAAAATTGCCATGTGAACAATAGATGGTTTTTTTTTTTTTGAGAGAACAATAGATGTTTTTAAAAAGTCATTAGAAAGATACCAGATATTATGTACTTTTGGATGGAAAAACATCTACCACCTATGGAGCAGTCCTTCCTACAACCCCCCCCCCCCACAAACCCCTCGCATCTAGTTAGAATTTGATCAAGTCTTTAGATTTCAGCTATCAATGTACAGGAAATACAGAGGAATCTGTTAAACTAAACTATGTAGATGCAATCAGCAAAACTGTATTGTAGAAAATTTACAAAAGCAAGTTTCTTCAATTAATACATTTGTATGGTTGAGGGTGGGACGAGATGGGAGGTCAGAGAACACTCACTTTAAAAAGAGAAACAAAAAAAAGAGAATTAACACTATCACAGTGTGTGAACCTTTTTTGGATCTGGATACGAACTATAAAAACATTTATGATGCTCATGAAACTACCAGAAACTACTTACTGGATATTTGATGGTAATATGGAATTACCAAATTTTTTAAAGGCTGATAATGGTACTATGGTTATATTTTTTTTTTAAAAAGAATACTTACAAGAAAAATACTAAAATGTTTACAGATAAAATATATCACGTCTTGGATTTGTTTCAGTTAATATAGGCGTGAGGACTTAGATGAACCAAATTTGGCCATGAGTTGACATGGAAAGCTAGGTGATGGATAAATGGAGGGAAAGGGTCTACTATACTATTATCTCTACTTTTTATATATGTTTGAAATTATCTCTTAGAAAAAGAATTTCTTTTTTTTTTTTTTTTGAGACGGAGCCTCAAGCTATCCCCCTGGGTAGAGTGCCATGGCATCACGCTCACAGCAACCTCCAACTCCTGGGCTCAAGCGAGTCTCCTGCCTCAGCCTCCCAAGTAGCTGGGTCTACAGGCACCTGCCACAGCGCCTGGCCATTTTTTGGTTGCAGCCATCATTGTTGTTTGGCGGGCCCGGGCTGGGGATTCGAACCCGCCACCTTAGGTGTATGTGGCTGGTGCCCTCGCCACTTAAGCCACAGGCGCCGAGCCAGAAAAAGAATTTCTAAAAGAAGTAATGGTACCACGTCACACCCATTAGGAATGACTACTATCAAAAACCAGAATATAGGCTCGGCGCCTGTGGCTCAATCGGCTAAGGCTCAGGCCACGTACACCTAAGGTGGCAGGTTCGAATCCCCAGCCTGGCCCCACCAAACAACAATGATGGCTGCAACCAAAAAATAGCCGGGCACTGTGGTGGGCGCCTGTAGTCCCAGCTACTTGGGAGGCTGAGGCAGGAGACTGGCTTGAGCCCAGGAGTTGGAGGTTGCTGTGAGCAGTGAAGCCATAGCACTCTACCCCGGAGGACAGCTTGAGGCTCTGTCTCAAAAAAAAAAAAAACCCCAGAATATAAGTGTTTATAAGGAGGCACAGTAATTAGAACCCGTACCTCTACTGGTGGCAACGTAAAGTGGTGGGTGCACTTTCTATGGAAAAAACAGTGTCATAATCTTTAAAAACTTACAAATAGAATTACCAAGTGATTCAGCAATCCTATTTCTGGGTATAAAAGAAATGAAAGCAGAGTCTCAAAGGGATATTTGTACACACCACATTCACACATGCAGCGGCATTATTCACAATAACCAAAAGATAGAAGCAACTCAAGTGTCCCTTAGTGGATGAATGGATAAACAAAACATGGTGTACCTGTACAACAGAGTATCATTCAGCCTTAAAAAGGAGGGAGATTCTGACATGTCCTATAATATGAGGATATTATGCTAATGTGAAATTGGTCACAAAAATACAAATACTGTATTATTCCCTTATATGAAGTACCTCGAATAGTTAAATAGAGACAGAAAACAGAATGGTGGCTGCCTGTACCTGGAAGGGAAAGAAGAATGGGAAGTCGTTTTTATTAAGTTAACAGATACAGAGTTTTAGTTTTCCAAGATGAAAAATGTTCTGGAGATTGAATGGACAACAACGTGGTATAAACTACTGATCTATTTGGTTAAAAATGGTTAAGACTACTGAACTACTTGTTTAAAAATGGTTAAGATGGCAAATTTTATGTGTTTTCTACCATAATTAAAAAAAAGATGGCACAGTGTGTAATTTGATGGTGTCCTGTACTGCCGAGAAAAAAAAAAAAGAATAAAAGAAAAAAAGATGGCAGCTATGAGTCTCCCCACATAGAAGCTTGGATGACAGACTGAGAAATGGTTAGATGAATGCCTGGCCATTAAGCAAGCTGCAAAAACCAAAAATCAGATCAATTATCATTTAAGCTCCAAAATTTTATAATCCTATACCAACATAAATTGCTTCAAAACCTCTTCAGTTTATAATTGACCCATAGAACAGGGGTGGTGTATAGTTTTTTTTTTTTTGAGACCAACACATAGTATGTCCCCCTGGGTAGAGTGCCGTGGCATTACAGCTCACAGCATCCTCCAACTCCTAGGCTCAAGTGAGTCTCTTGCCTCCGCCTCCCAAGTAGCTGGGACCACAGGCGCCCGCCACAACGCCCGGCTATTTTTTGGTTGCAGCCGTCATTGTTGTTTGGTGGGTCCGGGCTGGGGATTCGAACCCGCCACCTTAGGTGTACGTGGCTGGCGCCTTAGCCGGTTGAGCTATGGGCGCTGAGCCAGTGTATAGTTTTTATAAAGGGCCAAATAGTATTTTCAACTTTGAAGGCCAAGAGGCAAAATGAAGGATAGTATGTGGGAAAAGCAGATTTCCACAAATTTTTTATTGATGAAATAAAAAAATGGTAATAGAGTCCATTTTTTATGAGCCAAGTCTCATCATTGTAAGAATAAAATTCTTTATATAGGAATAACATTTTGCTTCCTTGGGGCTCAAAGTTATATTTCCTTATCATCAACATTGAGTGCAAAAGATTAACTTATTCATGCTGATCTGTACTGAGATTTTACCGATTTCATCTATATAAAGCAGATATAACAAAGTATACACAGTCAACCCCAATTTGCCTTTGTTCTAGTATCTATCCATCTCTCCAGGGGACAGTAATGGCTAATCCTCCAGGATGTTCAAAGAAAACAGTGAAGTTCTGTTTTTTGAGTGACATATAAACTTTCTTCAAAGGAAATGAAGAAGAGCTAGGAGTTAAAATGACATTTACCTTTATTAGATAAAGGTGACAAGAAGGCATCCTGCATTTGTGTTCCATGGGATGAGGCTGTATCTATCTCATGATGGGTGGGGCCAATGTTGCTAAGCCAGCTCTGACTTCGCTGGATATTGGAGATGCCAGGATCCATCTCAAGGTTTAAAAAAGGATCAGCTGATTGAGACTTTAATAGGTGCTCTCCCACTGCAGGGTAGGTCCAAAACCAAAAAGTGGGGAGAGAGAAATTTAAGATGCACACATTGCTTCTTCCAATTCAGTTCTGTTAGCCTTCCCAACCTGCCCACCTAATACTAACAGTGTAAAGCCAACGAACAGTCCTACACTGTACTCTACCCCAAAACTAGAGATGTGGGACTATAGCACAACAGACTGACCACATAATACCATCTAATAGTTTTATCATTATATCTCTTACTGGAACTAGGCAAAACTTTATTCTGTTCATCTTCTAAGCGATTTGCCTTGGTTTCCTAGATGACATATTTCCAAATGCCTAAATAAAAAGTTTGTCTAAAATTTTTGTAAATAATAATTACAACAGTCTTCATAAAAAGATCTCTGAAAAACTTCAACATTTAATTTTTCTTTTACCAAAAAATACAGTTTTACTTTGTCCTTTCCTAGTTTAGAAGCTGGTCCAAGATGTCAAAGATGCATTTTTACTAATTCCCTGGAATGAGTCCTGTCAGGTAAGTCACAATTTAGCTTATTTTGAGGTCCATGTCTAACTGGTTCCAAAACTCCTTCCTGCAATAAAATAAGCATGGGTAGCTTTTACATTCAGCCAGTTCTCAACTTGTTTATAATCTAACATAACAATGAACAGATTTATGAATTAGACTTCATTTCTCAAGACTTAGGTTCTTCTACTTTATTTACATCCTTGATCCAATGGTAGATGTTCCAACTAATGTACAAAGACTTGGCTTTTATCTGCTTCTGAGTTTGGAATGAAACTCTTGACTATCAACTATTAGCAAAATGTCTAAATACTTGGACAATTTTCCTTTTACAAGTGACATTACCTGTTCGGTATTTTCCATTTTTGAAAGGAGAACTGATAGAAGAGGCTGGGAGGATAGGAAGTGGCCACAGGAAATCTTTGTGGAGTCTCTTCAAGGCTATTACAAAGTTGTCTACCCGGGCGGCTCGGGTACGTTCCTTGCACAGCCAAGTGATTAGCTCAAAGCCCAGTTGGGCTGCAAAGCAGCCAAGGTCTTTTAAGCGCACATCTTCTAAGAGGCGCCGAGCATGTCTCCAGAGCATCATGTCAATGTACATGTTCTCAGCACAGTCACTGTCTTTACTCCACCTATAAGTGGAAACAAGAAAGCTACAGAATAGCATTTACTGGAAGATTTCACATACTTTTTATCTAGTAACACTAACAAAGCTGACAAGGAGGTAAGAGATCCAACATCTACTTCTGACTGAAAAGGATTATAAAGCACGAGGGTTTCTCCTCTGTGTGATCTCAAAACTGTTGAACACTTGGAACACAGTAGGCCTGTAAGAAGTTTTTGTAGGATGAATATATAGGAGGAAAAAAAGAAAGAACCAGACCAGGAAGAGGGTGGTGAGTGGTTGAAGCCCATTTTTAAATTCGAGGTATGGCTGAGAAAATACTGTTGAGCCTGGCAGTTGTTTATGCTCTACTTGTAGACAACACATAGTAGGGTGTATGTGTGCACACTGGGTAGTGGAGTTAATGGCCAGTGGTAACAGAAAGTAGTAAAAATATCATAATACAAAACATTCAGTAAGTTTTCAATATGTGCCAGGCACTGCAATAAGAATGCAAACAATATAAAAGAAAGAATTAGATAAGAAAAAAAAAACAAGAGACAAGAATATATAACCACATAGGAATACACAGACTTCACAAACCAGAGGAAATTGTAATGTTTTTATAACATTCAGTGTGAGTTCATAGTTATCTCTCAGGATATAATAACCTATCTATGGGTGATGGAGGTTTCAGTCTAAGAATACAATTTCTGTTGCTCTCCCTCTGTTTAATGACTTCTATAAGGAAAGTCAAATGCTTGTCAAGGTATATAGTTGGAAAGAAAGGCAAAACTACTGACTTTTAAGAAGGCCTTTGGATTATCCAGATAAATCTGTTTTCTGTTTTAGTCTAGTCTCAATTATCAAAGGTAATTTACAGTTAGTTGCATTCAGAATAGGTACATTAAAACCCACTCGAGAAAAAGGGGCAGAAACTACACAGAGTATTGAAGTGAATGTAAGAGGAAGAAAAAAGGGGGGCTGCCTTCTGTGTGGTCTCCAAGCCTTTTGGGAATGGAAAAAGGAATTGCAACTGGATTAAATATTTGTTTCCAAAAAACCCAAATTTATAAATGCTCTGAAATGCATGATGTCACAGATGCCAAAAAAACAGTAGTAGTTCTACATTCTTTTACCTTTTTCCAGAAGGACCAGATGGCATACTTAATGTTTTCTGTAAGCTGAATTTACTAGAAGGAACATTTTCAGCTGACTGGGATAAACTGATGCTTCGATTTCTGAAGAACTCAAATCCACCACTTGAACTGGGTTCCTATGATTACATATAATGTGCAGTACAGTTAGAGAAAGACACCATGTACATGTATGACCTACAGAGGTTGTATGATTGCAACTAACCTGAGCTGTGGGTGTGGATGGAGGTGTTTCAGATTCTCCAGAGCCAATGGCTTTAAGAAATCGAATCATGTGTCGACACAGGTCCCATTTGCCTTGTTCTAGTGCTGTGTTGAACAGAAGGGTGGCATGTTGCCTACTTACTGCTGGGACTTCCATATTCTACAAAAACCAAAGAAGACAGTGTTCCTTTTATACTATACTATGAGCAATTCTTTATTGCCACAGTTATCTAAACCAAGGAATGTAGCCTTAACACTGTAGAGGTTAGTATAATAGTAAGATTAAAATGAACATTAAAAAGTAACATACAAGGAAAAATTATGTAAGTACTCTTCTGGTGTAATATGAACTATCATTTACTGAACTCCTATTATATGCCAAATATATACACTATTTCACTTATTTCTCCAAGTGACTCTGCCAAATAGATGGATCATTCCTGCTTTGCAGACAAAGAAACTTAGTTAAGTAAATTGCTGAAGATCAGCAGAAAGCAAGAATATAAATCTATAAATCTAGGTTTGCCTGACCCCAGAAAAGCCCAAGTCCTGCCTCCTGTTAAAGAGTTTTCTAAGGCCGTGACTTGGGCAAATAGCAAGTAGTAAGTACCAGTATACATTCAGAATACTCAATACTTCCTTCACAAATTTAACCCTACTACATGTCTTGGTCTTCATGGGATAGTGTCAGACAAGTTTAACGGTAATTATTTGCCAATCCATTGCAATTTAAGAATTACGCTGGAGAAAAAATTCTCTAATTCCACTGTAAGGGACATCACTGAAGGTCTAAGGTGGGATCCAGAACATCAAATAGCTGCATTTATTTTCATTCTATTTTATAAATCTATTGCCTTTTTAGGGCTAGGTATGGAACCATAGAATCCCAGAGTTACCCAGACTCTGAATATCTCCTCTGGTTTTAGTCAGTTGTTACGAAGCAAATAAGCTGATACTAACTGTGTTTCAGGTGGAGATTCAAACCAGGTTTGTGATAAGCTTCCTCCATCAGTGAAAACAACTTTGCAGTAATTTGAAAGAACCTTTAAATGTGGCCTATCAAATCCATATTAGATGTATAGGAATAACTGTCAAGTCCTTTTATCAAATATATAATAAAACAAATTTTCAATAGTCTCAAAGAACCCATTATTTTGAGAAAAATCAGGTACTGTGAAGGCCATTTCTGTGGCAGACCTTCTCAGCTTGTCTTGGGGAGCCTGTGCTTTAATTAGTGTCCCCTCACAGCAACTCCACAATGTAAGGAAGAAAATCTATAATATTGTGAGGAGCTCAGGACCAACCCACTAATATCCAGAATAATACTTTCTTTGCTATGTTTTCTATGTAACATTTCAGTAATCTTATGTAATATTTCTTGCGCTTATATTATCTCAATATATGTAACAAATTTCTTCGGTATTACTCAAAATAGTAATCTGAACTCATTAACCTGTTTTAGGCCTATTTATGGATAAAACCAACATTCCAAGAAATCTGTGGTCATTTGACAAGTCTGAGTTCTTCAAAGTGAAAGACAAATTAATTTCTTTTTCTTTTTCTTTTTTTTTTTTTGAGACGGAGCCTCAAGCTATCCCCCTGGGTAGAGTGCCATGGCATCACGCTCACG